CACAAGTTGTCTTCCCTGCTCTAAATCTTGCATTAGCTGGGGCAGCCATGTGTAGTAAAACGTTTGGAAATGGTGTTGAGCTTGATACCCCCATGGTAGAAATTCTCTTCTATTAACTCTTCAAGGTTCAGCTCTTAGCTGGTTCATAAGAAATCTTGCTCCTAGACATCTCTGTCCTTTGAAGCAACCAAGCAAGCTTTGGAGGGAGACAACAGCAAATTTACAGACTCACAAATATTCTCTTTGTACATCATTTTGCCATTGCCTTATGTAAAATGGCAAATCAAAATAATTTAGAAGCAATGGAAAAGCATTTTGCAAACCCTCTCCTGCCAAGCCAAGCCAAGCCAAGCCAAGCCAAGCCAAGCCAAGCCAAGCCAAGGCACATAGTGGCACTTGGATGCAGACGGGTTCACCTCCATCCCCAGTTCTTAGCAGTGCAATTCAATATTTACCACTGATATGCCTTCACTTGAGGTATTTTAAGCAAAATAGTCTCTGGTAATATTTAAATCTCTCCCTGATCAATTTTCAAGTGTTGTTTGTTTGTGTTACATTGAATTCTAGTGTATTATAACAATCACATTAAGAGCGATGAGCTGGAAACTGGGGCATATTAACACTTCACATGATGAAAGACAAGTTACAATGAAAATACCTTACTGAGGGAGGTATGTTTTTATGTCTTACTCCACATAAAGGAATTTTCTCAAGGTTCTTTGAGTGAGGCCTACTTTATGATGGGAAACTTTTTTTTTTAAACTATATAGGGGGACCGAGCACTGGAAAAGCTCAGCTGGGACTAATGGTAGAGGGAAGGACATGGCAAGAAATGGAAGGTGGAGCCAAGAGAATCATAGTTCAAAGCAGAATGAGATCCCTTAAGAACCCAACAGCAATGGTAGATCGGATGGGGGGCCCATCCAGTCCAGGATTCCATCCGCACCGTGGCCAACCAGGAAACCTGAAGCAAGGAATGAGTGCCACAGCCCATGACCCCCAGCATCCGGTGTACAGAACTAACTGAATCATGGATTACATTGGACAAAAAAGTCCTTCACACTTGCACCTGTCCATTCCACCAGCAACCCCCATACACAGAAAGATGATCTGCGGCTGCCTTCTGACCCAGAAGGTATTGCGACCAACAATGGAAGTCTCACATTTCTGTCTCTATCACACACACCCACACATTCGCACTTGCCTCCCGCCGACTCCTGCCTTCTGATCAGCTCCATCGTAGGACTACCCCACACTCTTGCTACACACAACATTTTCAGGCACAGCAGTGGGAACCTTCTTTCAGCTCTGGGGCTGAATTCAGTTTTGGAGAAGCTTCAGGGAATGGGTGCAAGGCTTCCCGGGAACCCCAAGCATGCAGATGCAACCCCCAGAGGGTCAGATTTGGCCCATGGGCTGGAGATTCCCCAGCCCTAACCTAAGACACTGAAGCAGAGTAAACTTCACCATTACTTCAGCCAAGGAATTCCCCCCATCCCAAGCACGGCAAGGAGCTGAGGCTCAGGCGCTACTGCCCAACAGAGGAGCACGCATCCTGTGAAGCACACCGCCTCACACAGAAGGTCCTGCCCTCCTCTGATCTCGTTTTGAACCCCAGGATTCAATCCTATGCATATTCAAGTGGGACTACGCTCCTCTCAATGCACTGGGGCTGACTTCTCAGCAGACCTTCCTAGGATGCCTGGCATGTACCCCGTGAGCCACAGTTCTTACTCATCTCCCCTCATGGGGACTCAAGGTGACGGGTGCCTTCAGGCTGGGAACAAAGGAGGGAGAGGGAAGACCAGAAGCAGGGCAAAAGGGAGGCGCAGCAGCAGAAGACAGAAGAATCAGAACAGAAATAAAAGGGAGGAAGCAGGCAAGAGGAACAGAGGAGGGGGCAGAGGGAATAGAGCAGGAACAGAAAAATCAAGAAGGGCAGCACAGCAATCAGAGGGAAGGCATGAGCAGAAAAGCTCAGGGGGTTTTTCTCCCTTACCTCTCAGATCAGCAGTCAAACTGCTCCTCTGAGCTCTTTCCCACTCAACCTTGCAGCTGCCACTTCTCTCCATTCACCGGGTGGCTCAATGGAAGAACTTCAGCACTTCCTTCTTTCCTCTTGCACAGGTAGCCACAGTTCAGGCTGCCCGGGGACACCTTGCTGTGTTTTTCCCTAAGCAGCTCTGGTTAGCGGTGTTGCTCCACAGCCGAGCAGGGACCGTGATGTTCAGGCTGAGCACTCAGTCCCAAGGCGTGCAAGCAGAAGAGGGGGCTGGAGGTGGGCAGCTCCGAGAAGCTGAGGGAGCAGCGTTTTCTGGTGGAGATGGACAGGCCACCACTTTTTGAGAAGTGAAAGGTGTGAGTGGCAGCTTGCCTGGGAGTTGGGCAGAGATAACTGTGCTCATTGTGACAGGTCTTTGGTACACCTGGTGGTTCTAGCCCACTCACCCAAGTCGGAGCCACCCCAAATGCAATGGGGTGCAATAGGTTGCTTCCGGGAAAATGCAGCTGCCTGGGTCACCTTGGCCAGCTGCTGTGAGAAATGCAGCTAAGCTCAGAGGGGAAGTAGGAACTGTGGGGAGCGAGAGCCTGTCTCCATTCCTGCTGATAAAACCGCTGGGAGTGGGAGGGGGAGTGAGCAGGAAGGGCTTGGTAAGTGGGCCTCTGCCCCACTTGACCCTATGGAAAAATCATCTCCAGCCACTTTGGCTTCACCCCAACTTTTGCTCCTTCTGTTCCACCCTCTGTCTGCCTTCACAGCTCATTGAGAGGGTGGAACTCACCTTTCTCCCCTCTGAGTTCACCCTTGGCTTGGGCTTGGGCTTGGGCTTGGGCTTGGAGGGGTTGAACAGCAAGTAGGCCAACCCCGCCCCCCTTGACACAACCTATGCTTCATCCTAAAGAATGCCCAGAATTGTCCAGAATGCCCAAATGCAAATAGGGGATGCACTTGATTCACCACATGGGATTTGGGTTCCCCACCCAGTTCTACATACGTAGGACAGATAAGTGAACATGAAAATATGCCCCGTCACATTTAATTTAGCCTTCACTCTGCATGGATAAGTAGTCTTTTCTTTCCCCTCTGAACAATGTCCTCAATATTGTACAAAAATGTTTCCGGTATATTTTGAAAACCAATTTCTAAAAATAAAAATGCAAGCATTAAAAGGCAAAGAAGACTTGGACCATTTTAAAAGCTAAGTAGAAATGATGTGTTGGCTTTTCTAAACTTGTCCTGAAATCAAGCATTTCATCAATATTATCGATCACCCATTGGCTTCAACTCATGGTATTTCTGCAGCAGTGTTTAATGCCTATTATCACGCTCTTTATCAAGACATCAATCTGCCAACTCTCAAAAATGCTGCACCATATTCCAGATTATGCAAATGAGGCCTAATCCCTCAAACCCAGGTAGCAGGAAAATAACCAAGTACCTGTTTGCACACTATTTGGCCCAAGGATTAAAAGGGAAATTTTAAACTTGCGGTTGCAGGCTCTACCCTACACTTCAGCACAGGCAGAGCGTAAGCCAAGAGAGAAAACGGCTAGAAAACTCTTGTGTATTGCCTTCTATTCATAGCAAAAGGACAGGGAAGTGGAGGAAGGCAGTGTCTCATTTCTAGCCACTCTTAATCTCATCCCAAAAGTGTATAGTGCATAGACAAAGATCTTGGAAGCATATCCACAAAGGTTCGGTGAATGAGTGGGAGGAATGTGTTTGTCTAGTTGGAAACTTCTTGGCTTGAAAATTGTTTCTGGATTCATGTTTACCCTCATTCCCCAACCGAAGAAGCCAGGTGTTCATGAGCATCTCCAACAGGCTATGGTTCATGATGACAATCGGTTGCTTTATCCATATTTCTCCTTACCTCTGCCACTAGCCTACTGGAATTGTAACCGTTCCCAGTGTTCTGTATTCTCTCTGTTAAAATAAGTCCTTGAGTGTAGCTAGAAAACTACATGTTCGCTGACAAAATTGGACCCAACAGAAAGTTGTCTCTGCAGAACGAAATAGCTGAATGATCCCCAGACATGAGAATGTGGCTGCAAACCTCACCTACTCAACGTATCATTGAGTTTTCCATTTTAATTTAATTCTCATGTTCCAGCTGGGGAAGCCGAGGCTTAGTGCCAGACACCCTAGAACTGGTCAGAGGTTGCCAGTCGTTTTAGACCAGTCTACTGTGCCAGTCTACTCACCAAGCCACCCTGTCTCTCAGGACAGATAGTCTGGATTTGTCCCCATCTCTCTGCTCATCCTTATAAACCACTGATATTTATTTAGGACACCTTTTAGCCTTACTTCAGGCAGATAGTACTCTGTCAATTTAAACAAATGCAATAATAGAGCCAAACAAGAGAAAACAAGCAGAGTTGCCAAAATAGGTTGGTGCACTCTAGGCTGGAACACTGACTTAAAAATGCAAGAGGACTTGGCAAATAAATCTTCTAGATCGACTACTAATAGATCTTCTACTGGTGCCAAAGAGACCTCAGGCCCTGGATTGGGAGCACATTCTAATATAGCATCCATGAAGAACACAGGTCATTTTCTGCATTCATTGCAACAAATAGGCATCACTATCCTATCACGGGGCATTCAGGGCATGCAGAAGGATCCCGGGTTCAATTCCTGCCATCTCCAGTTAAAAGGACTGGCAGTGCACAGCCGGGAAAACGTCTGCCTGGAATCCTGGAAAGTCGCCACTAGTCTTGGTAGAAAGGACCCAGCTCAGTGGTTCACGGGTTTCATCGTTCCGCATGTCTGAGACGCATGGCAGACACAGCCACGAATATCAAGCATAGTGAAAGTGGTTGCTACTGTTACTTTTCTTGCCTTCTGTAGCTGCTGCATGCATACAACGTGCAGAGAGTTTCTTCCTGCTAGCTGAATATCTGAACGGGAGATGGGAGTGGAAAAGCGCACGACCTGGAGGTGTACAAGCAGCAGGTCCCAGGAGAGTCAACCCACATTTTTCTCTGCAGAATCTTACCAGTAATACTACGGACTAGCTGCCTGTCCGCCAAGTCCACTGAAGCTCTTCCAACGCAGCGTATTCATGCATGCATTTTCATCACTTGATGGCTGTGTTGTGTGAATGCTTGTAGGGGTGAGCAGACCAGATCCACCATCAGGGACACCCTTCACAGCACCTCAAGTGCAGTACTTTCCCGGTCAAGCTGGGTTCACACATTCAACAGCTGGCCATCAAATGTACACTAAGAAAGCGGAGGGAAAAAGTAAGCGGTGCACATGTAAATCTGAGCAAGCTGTCCCAGGCAGAGAAGGCTGTAGAGTGAACCATCTTGGTATTTTCCCTTTCAGACAGAATAACTCTCATCCCGGAATTGCTTGGGTCTTCTCCTTTGTTACTAGGAAATTCATACCTTAGTAGCACCAGGAGTCGGATGAGGGACCCCATCCATTTCCACTACCATGCATCTTATTACCCATTCACTTGTGTCTGCTGGATACATTTCAGCAATTCACGGATGTGTATTAACTTTTTCCCTACAGGGCTTCAAAGGACCTTGCATGTCAATGGATGCTCATGAGCAAATTAACAGTTAAGAGTCATGCATTTAAAAGCCTTGTTTTAAATCAAGTCGTAAGTAAATTTAGATGTCTCTATTTCAGGCTGGCATTAAAGCATGACAATTTGGTAATAACTCAGTAATTATTTCAGAGTTCCACAAAGAATATAATTTGCCTTTCATAAGAGGATGCTATCTCCCATTGGCTACCCAGAACAATACTCTTTTTTCCCAGCAAGGACAAAGCTTCCCAATTATTTTTGTAGCACACCATTGATAACATAGAAAGCTCAGGGAATTACCGCAACTGTCAGAGACTCTCCCCAGAGATCCTGGGATCATTTGTAGGGTACCGCTTCAGTTTAAGGGTTTGGGACAGTTCATGGCACTATAATTTGCTTAACTGTCCAGTGCCATCCAAGTCTATACCGCAACACCATCTCCCCTCCTCTGCCACAAAGTCATCCAAGGAGCAACAAATGGAAAGTCCACACATTGCCACGTTCACACTGCAGTTGCACTCCTTCAGCCAGGACTGAGCAATGTGTTCTTCCTTAAGGCGAAGCAACCTATCATCTGACTTTCTGGGACCCCAAAAGTGTTATTCAGTCCTCAGCAGTTCATCATACACATCCTCGAGCCATTGACTTGGAGGGTCACAAGTCTTGCAGATGTGCATAAATACATTTTTAATTAAGAACATTTAAGTAATATATTTAAAACATTTCTATGCCACGCCTATAGCCAGCAGGCTCTCCGGATGGTTTATAAACAATTAAAATATAATCAAACCCAACGGAATTGATGTATGCCCAAAATACTGAAGAAACGAACACCCCAATCACACCGTCTTCTTTAGTTCAAATAACAAAATAAAGAGAGGCACTGATGATGCAATCTGGATTGAAAGGTTGGTGTTTCAGCAAATATTACAAAGTTTGACTGGTGTGCTTTAGAGATCTGCATTGTGCCTCCACACAGCAGCCTTTCCTCATCCAGAACAATCATTCCAGTAATCTCCAGACAGCAGTGAAGCCTGCACTAAACCTGGAAGCTTGCACCAGACTCACAAGCAAACGGACACTTTTGGAACTCCGCATGGATTGCAGAAGCCAGCTGTAGGAAGCTAACGCTGTCCACTCACCTTGTCCCTGTATACATGAAGGTTTTTGCTAGCCTGAGGAGTTTTTTTAAAAAGACACATCTATATTTCAAGCCTCTGTCATTTTAGCAAAAGTCAATGAGGCTTTGCTAACATAAAAATAAATCATAATACCTGAATCAGGCCATAGCCTAGTACCGCTGAGTGTTCTCCAAAAAAAGAGAGTAAGTCTGCTTGGGGACCAGGCCATCTTAATAGGATTGTAACCCAGCTGGCCCTGCTAAAGGGACTGAGTTAAACGTCCACTACACAAAGGGTCCACTTTTTTTCCTTTTTAAGCAAAAGGTAGGGAACATTTCAGCGAAATACAAAGCAGCCAGGCTGAAGGACACGTCTTTATCTCCAACATGCAAGTACAGCAGAGTTCCTTGACTCCACTGCATGGATAACACAAGGAATAGAATATTCATTTGTCACACTGATATCCTGACTTTCCCTCCAAGGAGCCCATGGTGACGTACATAATCCCCCTCCTCTCTATTTTATCCACGCAACAACCCTGGGAGGCAGGTCAGGCTGATGGGCCTAGTCATCCAGCAAGCTTCATGGCCAAGTGAGTGCAGGTCCCCAGCACGGCACTTCCAATGGCACTCAGCATGGAACCTGTGGGCACCCCCTCTACAAGAATTACATTTCCCTGTTTTTTTTTCCCCATATGCATAAATGTTTGTATGAAATGCTACTTTCTAGCAATTATACACAGGCTTAAACCAGAGCTGACGAAATATTCAACTAAGTAACCATTTGTCATTGGTGTCTATAGGCCACCCATTCATGTATTGAAAATGTTTTAAGGTCCTCGGTACGTCACATTATAGGAGGTTTTATTCTTCCAATTTTGTATTATATTTTAGCTGTCAAAAGGTTGCACATTTATTTATTTATCTGTCAATTTATATCCTGCCTTTTTCCTACAAAGGGCTCAAGGCAGCTTACATCTCCTCCTCCATCTTCTCCCCACAACAACAACCCTGTGAGGTAGGTTGGGCTGAGAGTCTGTGATTGGCCCAGTTGGCTCCATGGCCGAGTGGGGACTCGAACCCAGGTCGTCTGAGTCCCAGTCATGTGCTCTTAACCACCACACCACCCTGGCTCTCATCCCTTCCATTTGTTCATTTCCACAAAGGTAAATCATTCAGGAGTGTGAATAAATCAACAAATATCAAAGACTGTCCCAGCACAAAATTTATCAGTGTGATCATCTCCCCCCAGAAAGAATCAACTACTGGGCATTGCCAACATCTGTGTGTAAAAGAAGAATTAGTCATATTCCACCACTAGCAATTACCTATATTATCTAGCAACGATGTAGATCTGTCTCTTATTAAAAAGATATTGCCACGTTCAGCAGAACAAAGCAAAAGCCTTTGTGGAATAAGATGAAACAAGAGTCATTGTCTCAACTGTTAAGACAGTGAAGAGGCCACTAATCAGGCACATCTTGACCACAGCAGTTTCTCAAATCTCCAGGCACACTCACGGATCCAAACCTGCTGGGGACCCCTGCTCTAATCAGCTGGTACTGTAAATCACGTACATTTCCAGAAACAGAGATTCATTTGGCTTGCGTTCTTTGCAAAGTCAGTGTAGGCCAGCTTCTGCTATATTTCCTAGTGGTACAGGAAAGAACCTACATGTTGCTCACAGATTGTTCTGCATCTCAAAAGCTTAGTTTTTATGAATAAAGGCTAACATTTCCCTCCTTCCATATGCAAACAAAAGAAGTGAAATGATCATTCCAAGATTTATATCAACTGCAACTCAGTTGTCATAGTATGGGTTTCACTGACCACAGCCTCTAAGTTTCTTAACTGATCAGCTGATGGAAGCCAAACTGGGAAGTTATAGATCTCTAACTGATTAATGGATGCCAAGTTAGGTCCTTATTTATATGCATAGCTGAAACACTGAGTGAGTCCTAGAATACAGGGAATCTACCCATGCTAGGAGATCGTGCCAGCCATCCACATCTTGGAAGCAACACCTGCTTGTTGTTGTCGTGTGCCATCTAGTCATCTCCACCTTATAGAGACCCTGTGTAAAACCAAGGCTGTGGCTTCCTTGATGGAGTCCATCCATCTCATATTTGGCCTGCCTCTTCTTCTTCCCTAGCATGGTCGTCTTCTCCAGCAGCCTCAGTTTTGCCATGTTTGCTTCTAGGGAATGTTCTGACTTGATTTGATCCAGGACCTACTTGTTCACCTTTCCGTCAGTGTGCCGTGTTTCAGAGGCATCCATTTTCTTCCCCACAGCTTTCTTCATTGCCCAGCTTTCGCATCCATACATAGTGATAAGGAATACAATAGTGTGGAAGATCTTGGCCCTAGTCTCCAGTGAAACAGCTGGTTGGATGAATGTTAATTCCCTAGAGATTTGAAGTTGGGGAACACAACTCAGGCCTGTGCACATTGGACCTAATCTACCACAGGGTGTGCAGCTAGAGATAAATAAGTATATTGCCCTCCAATCTGTCCACAGGCCTCCACTGTTGGCCACTTATTCAGATAGCTTAGCGACTGATCCATAACAAACCCATCTCTGTGCAAACAAGACAGCAAGGCCAAGATCAAGGCAGTCTGCTGGGTTACTGTGCCTTCTAAGTGAGTTCCATGTCTGCATGGACCTAGGGCTGTATGAAGCAGCACGCATTCTGCAAACAAAAGTTGGCAACCGTACCCTCTTCTTTCCACAGAAATGGCACACCTCCTTAACCTAGACACAGTTGCTTCCAAAACTTGCAATGCCAACGGCAAATTGCAGGCCTGATCCAAGCCACAGGTGCCGCAGACAAAAAAGGTAGTCTGTGTTTTGCTTACTGTTAATAATGCTGCTTCACTTCATTAAAAGCTGGTTATAATTTTATGTGCTCTTGTTTGATTAATTAACCTCTGGTTAAAATGAATGAGTTCTTGATTTAGGGATGCTACTAATGCGAGGCTGGTGAGCCATGGATCACATGCTCCCAGCCTTCCCTTTTTATTTCCAGGCTCCTTGCGCCTTGCCAACTGGATTTTCCACCCCCCCCTCCACCCACCTTCAGCATCCCCCCCTTCAAGCCAGGCTGCAGTGGCATGCAAATGCTATTAGGATGATGAGGGGGAGATGCCATAATCCACAGCTGACCTAAAACTGTGCAAGTCCTTTCTGCAGTCAGGAGCCTGCACCGTCCATGAGTTAACACAGACCACAAGCACAGGGCGGGGCGGAGGGCTGCGTGGAAGAGGGAGACAGAGCTGAATTATTTGCATGTGTAAACTCCAAAGGCTTGGCACCTATTCTTACACAAGAAGCAACAAAGGAGCAACAGTCCTGGCAAGAAACTATAGGGCTGCAGAAAAGGAGAATCCCCGTTCTGGCCCAGATAATATGTGCTGCATGTAAAAACTGCGGGGACGTATCAAAGATCAACAATTGGAGAACCCGGGGCTGGCCCAGATCCCCAGAGTTCAAGAAGACTCCTGTCCCCTTGCCAGGTCCACCACAAGAGAGACATGCTGTGGCAATGTAACTTGGTAGCAGATTT